TAGAGAAAAATTGTCTGTTGCCCATCCTGGGCCTCAGGCCAATACATTAAATATATTAAAATTAGGTTAAAACTTTCTTTATGGTGGATAGAAGAATCAAAATAGATCAATACATTCCTCATATCTGTAGAATGGGTGGGATGTAGGTCTGGAAGCAAAGTTGTAACTTTGTGGGAGGAAATTCTCCGTTTTGGGAAGAGAAAGACAAAACAGGTCTGCCGGGGTACATTAACTCATCTAGGTATTTGCACAGTTTTACAACAGGCTACATAAAAAGCACTAGCGAAGTTGGTACAAACTAAAATTTCATACTGTGACTTGTTCATGCTGCTCAGTATACTATACACTGAAATGTAAGTACAATATTTATATTCCAATAGATTAATTTTATAATTATATGGTAAAAATGAGAAAGTAAGCAAATTTTCAGTCATAGTGTGCTGTGACACTTTTTTGTATTTTTATGTCTGAGTTTATAAGCAATTTTAAAAAGAGATATAACTTGGGGGTACAGTAATCTGGAAAGGTTGAAAGACATTTTAACTAAAATAACAGCTGTCTGAAGTTGCTCAGGGACTGGGAATGTTACAATAAATTCTGTGGAGATGGATTAGGGAGCACAATACAACTGAGGCAGTGAAAGAGACACAATAAGTTCTTTACGCACATAGCTTTGCAATTTATCCCATGGTTATAAAATGTATCATGGTGCTGCAGTTTACCACATGGATATCACCTTCATGCATGTGGTACCCACTGTTCCTTTTAACTTTTCCCACAGCTCAGTGGTTTGAACATTGGCCTGCTAAACCCACGGTTGTGAGTTCAATCCTTGAGGGGGCCACTCAGGGATCTGGGGCAAAAATCTGTCTGGGGATTGGTCCTGCTTTGAGCAGGGGGTTGGACTAGATGACCTCCTGAGGTCCCTTCCAATCTTGATATTCTATGATTCTAATGAGAATGAATTTTGTTATGTGCACCAATATGAAGGTGATCTGTGGGGTGCAGGCTCTGGGGTGGGGTCTTTGGGTGCAGGCTGCCCCAAGGCTACAGCAAGGAGAGAGGACTCCCACCAGCTCTCTCTTCCTGCAGCAGCAGGACCTGGGCTGTGGGGGGGAGAGGCGCCTCTCCCCGCTATGGCAGCTCCGGGCTGGGGCTGTGGGATAGGCACCTCTCCCATGGCCACGGTAGGTCCAGGCCGGGCTGGGGCTGGGTTGGGGCCAGGGGAGGGGCACCTCTCCCCCGGCCACAGCAGGTCCAGGGCTGGGGGAGAGGCATCTCTTCCCACTGCAGCCCTGCACGGCACTTAATAGGCTGCTGCGCGGCTGCGTGGCTCAGAGGGAACTTAGTGGTACGCATCGGTCTATAAAAATAAATGTTATATAAATAAATCTATGCCCACCTAGTGATAATTGTGACCTTTCTGTGTGGCAGTTCATGGCCAGTAAGAATTTTTCTATGACAGTGGAGATGGAACCAATATTCTCCTATCATTTGAACTAAAGGAGAATGTCAGCAAGATAAAGCCTATGACACACAGCTAAGCAGTTCTGATGCCCTCTAGCATAGGTCATTGGTACCTGAACTTGTTATCCTGTTCATTTCTCTCTTTCTGTCATGGAGTATGTCACCCATGCGTTTACAAACATTTTGCAGTTTACAGCTGACTTTTTCTATGGCCAACTGGAAAGTGTCAAACATGAGGATCCTAAGTCACATCCAGTGCCATCTGGGCCATTATTATATTAAATACTATTATAAGAAGTTTTGGCCTCTTTGGCCCCTTTCTTAATTCAGCCCTCTGTTCCAGAAGTGCTGCTGTCTCAAACCTCAAACAGATCACAAAACATTGACACTTCCAACTGTCTGGGTTCTGAATGATTGAAATCAAAGGGCCATGATCCTTATTCTCCTCTCCCTTATACTGGCTTTACACCAGTATAATTGAATTGACGTCTCTTGAGTTTCTCCAGATATTTATTGGTGTGAAGAGAGGAGAATCAGGCCTTTGTTTCCTTATGTAGGGTTAGAGGATGCCTGAATGGAAGGGAGACTTTTGAGAGATAGAGAAATGTTGTAAGGCAAAGCCTGCACTAATATCAGACAGGAAGAAACGTCTTAGGTCTGAGTCTGATCTTGCTTATACTAGATCAGGGGACGGCAACCTTTCAGAAGTGGTGTGCCGAGTCTTCATTTATTCACTCTAATTTAAGGTTTTGCGTGCCAGTAATACATTTTAATGTTTTTTAGAAGGTCTCTCTCTATAAGTCTATATATTATATAACTAAACTAGTGTTGTATTGTAAAATAAACAAGGTTTTCAAAATGTTTAAGAAGCTTCATTTAAAATGAAATTAAAATGTTGATCTTACGCCACCGGCCTGCTCAGCCCGCTGCTGGTGTGGGGTTCTGTTCACCTAGGCAGGCAGCGGGCTGAGCGAGGCCTGCGGCCAGGACCCCAGCTGGCAAGGGTCCGGCAGCCAGAACCCCAGACCAGCAGTGGACTGTGTGGGGCCAGTGGCCAGGACCCCAGACCAGCAGTGGACTGAGCGGCTCAGCTCACTGCCGCTCAGGAGTTCCATTCGCCGGCTCCTGCCAGCCGGGATCCTGGCTGCCAGATCCACTCAGCCCGCTGCCAGTCTGTGGTCCTGGCCCTCCCCACATACAGTGGGTACCTACCTTCTCCCTGGTTCTGGCCATTCTCTTCCTCTCTCTGCACTGAGCTGAGGGTGGCAGTGCACTGAGCACAGGGCTGGGGGTGAAGGGTCGGGCCAGGAGCTAAAATGAGGGAGGGAGCTCAGGGTTGGGGCAGGAGGTTCGGGTGTGGGGCACTTACCTGGGCAGCTCCCATTTGATGTGAGGGGTGCAGATGGGAATGTGGGGGGGGTGAAGGAGCTCCCGTTTGGTGCTCCGGGTGGGGGTGGGGATGTGGCGGGTGCATGGGGTGTGGGGGGGCTGGGGATGTGGGGCGGTGCAGGTGTCAGGGCAGGAGGGGGGGCTGGGGGATGGT